CAGTATTCTTTGGTTATAAACTATATTCATCGCTGATGGAAAAAGAAAGGAGAAAAGAGGAAAAGAAACGACAGAGGCAACAAAAGAAAAAGAAATAAGAAAATATATTGTGTATTGTAATATATACAAATTTGACTATAACAATCATTCCATTATGTACCTGTTTTTTGACTCTTTACTACGTAACTTTGTGGCAGCTGAACATATTATAAAGTGACTTTTCTTGTATTATATTAAATATGTTGTGACGTATTAGAAAGTCTAAAAAACAGAGCCTAGGAGTATAAGAGTTAACTGTACATTTTATGTCATTTTAAGAAAATTGTGTTCAAAGTTTCTTATATATGTGAAAGTATCTATGAAGTCTATTTTAATGTTGTATTGTTGTAATATTTTATGCTATATTATTTAAAGAAATATAAATATATTTATGTCAGTTATCTTTAGTCATGTAAATCAAAAAGATCACCCGCTAATATTATTCTGAACCATTCTCTTTTAAAAACGTTTGCTTGTTTAAAATTATTTTTCCTTTCCTCCACATTCTTTCCCGCTTTTATTATCTCCGTGTTGTCTTCTTTTATTTGTTCCATCCATAGTACTTAATTTACTGTTTGTCATGTTTTCCCTTCTTAATCCCTTGACTGAGACGGTTAAATACTTAAATTTAGGTATTAGTTCTTGCGTCACATGCCCTCTATACATGTAAGTACTTCATGCTCTCTAGTACACAGAAGTATAACTTTTGCATATATTATATACAGAAAACTTATAGAAATATTAATCTACTTTTTTCTCAGACAGGACATGCCGCCAACATCCGGTGTAGCATAGACAGCTAAACAAATTTTCTCTTGGAGGTAATTGGATAAAATTAATGGTGTTTATAAAAACAAAATACTTTATATTAAACTAAGCAGAACAAACGCATTTTAAGATTGATTGGTAATTTTTTCTTCTTCGTGTTAATTATGTGCCTTACTAAAACAAGGCAAACAGTATCCAGGTTGACCAGGGCAATGGGAACAAAAAGTTATAATCCTACGAACTTTTTTATCCACTTCACGTAACTTAAACCTGAAAATTTTAATACTTGATGACAGCCTCTACATGGCTTTCGTCGTTTCCTTCCAGGTCATTCAGGTTTGGTAGAAGTATGCACTCTTTTTTTGGAAGTGGTTTTTCTTCAGGTGATTGTATTAAATTATAAGCTAACTGACGTCTAAATTCTGTAATGCTCATTTTTGTTTCAGAGCACATATTGAATATAATTAAACTATTAAGAATAGTTGTTCCGAGCATCATCTCAAATACTACTTTCCTAAAAAAATTAATAAAAAAAGATATTAAAATTATAATTTATTTTTTTTTTTCTTACCGGTACCATTTGAATCTTCGACGTATGGTAAAATGACATCTGGTCAGAATAGCCTACTCCTTTCTTTACAGAGTTGTAGTCAATTATACATTTCTGTTTCGCAGTATCCTCTTTTTACCTATTCTGCTTTCCTGTTGGAATCAACTGTTTAGTAGGGGCTGGAACACTTGAAATCATTAACACAGGTCTCTTATCCATCCACTTAATAATTCTTAGTCCATCTTTCTTTTTTCCAATGACCTCTGTTCGCTTTATCTGCTTAGACTGGTCAAAAATATGTGGTATTCCTTTTCTGTTTTCACTCAGAGTCCCACAGCACATCATATTTTCTGCTAACAATCTTTTAACAAAAGGGATTCCTAAATAAAAATTATCAGCAAATAATGTGTTGCCAGTTTTATCTGTGATACACTGAAGTAATTTTAGAACAGCTGCTTCAGAGTATGATACATTAACTGAGATCTGGATTCCATACTGGCCCGGCAAACTCAAGAATAGATCTAACATATATTGAGTAAAGTTTACTAACACAGGTTAGAAATATACGTGTAAAACATTTACGGATCAAAAACAGTTTTGAGTTTGCACGTTTACACACCTACATACACTATGTGATCAGACCAATTTAAGTCACTATTAATTATCACTCAGAAATCGTTGTGCTAGGTCACCCAGTTTAAATTAATAAAGTACGGCAGTGATGCGTTATTTTCGCCGATATGTAAAACAACGCATTTTTCAATGTTAACGCGGAAGTAACAATTCTAAGGGCCATTTGAATATTGCAACAAGATCATGTTGAAGTTAGTCATGTTAGTTAATAGTTGGATTCACATATAATTTCTTGTCATCACCGTAAATAGAAACCTTACTGGATACAATGAGCGGAAGATCACTAGTGTAGACACAAAAAAGTAGCGGTCCAAGTACTGATAAATGTGAGATTCCGCTCTTGACTGGCTTATCTAGTGAGTGGTCTTCTTCAACACGAACCCTGAAGTATCTGTCGGATAGAAAATCTTGTATCCAAATGTTTAACTTTCCGCGGATAGCATAGTGATCCAATTTAACTAGTAATCGATGTTTTGGAACACGGTCGAAACTTTGGAGAAGTCTAAGTAGACTACATCGACATAATTCCGATTGTTTAAAGATAATGACCAATCATTTACACAATGAAGTAAATTTGTGATTATCGAGCGACTTTTGATCAGGGCAATCCTGTTGGTGAGGGATGACATTTTCTTGAAGAAGAAAGAAGACATAACATTTTACGACATGTTTCTACGAAAGCTCGTACAAACCAAAGGAAAGTAGTGTTTCTTTAAAAATTGGCATATATTTTTCATGGAAAAAATCAAAATTTAAAATAAACAAGAAAATACAGGATTTTATTTATACCTCAGACGTCGGTGTCTGATATATAGGACTCAGTATTCGGGTTACCCGGTAACAGCATTTGAATTTATTTAGGGCAAAATGACCCTGATTTGACCTTTTTCTGTATTAGAATGCTGATTTCTGAATTAGAATCTTATATTAAAATGGTTAATAGTTGGTCAGAAGTTAAAAGAAGTCTACTAAATATATCTAGGATGCATTCCTTCCGCGAGAACTTCCGTGAATAATTCTTGCGAGATAATCGAAAATGCTTATTCTTAGCTTCTGCTGCCTCCTGAGAACTTGCATAAACGGGGTAGATGAAAAAAGAAAAATGCCTTATTGGTGGTGCGAAGAAATCACCAATAAGAGGAAGGGATGCATTGCCATCAGAAGACAGGCTACGAGGGCAAGAGGTAGAGGAGAAGTAACCGAAGCTAGCAGAATGGATATGGTATATAATGCGCGAAAGAAGGAACTGAACATGAAGATCCGAGCCGAGAAGAAGAGGCACTGGAGAGAACTGTGTGACAAATTTAATGAGGACGTTTGGGGTCAGGGGTACAAAAATCGTAATGAACAAGTTCAATCTGTAGCTGTGTTCAAGCTTAAGGTTACCCGAGAGCTATTTCCACCCGACAATTGGCATGGAGTGCAGTGGGACGCCGAAGCTGAGCGAGCTGCACCTTTTACCGTAGACGAACTCAACGAAGCATTGAGTGCCCTAAAGACACGAAAGGCTCCGGGCCTCGATGGAATACCACCAGAAGCGGTGAAACTCATTCGCAGTGTGGAGCCGACGTGGCTTTTGGACCACATGAATGTACTGCTTGAAACTCAGTGAAAATTATGGATATTCTAACAAAAGCCTAATTAGGTGATAAAAACCGGCGCATAATACAAAATGTATACTGGAACCAATAAGCCACAGTAAGAATAAATCTTGGAGATAAACCGACGGAAGCGATCCAGATTCTGCGAGACGTTAGACACGGATGTATACTTTCACCTATATTATTCAACCTATATTCAGAGGAAATATATAGTGAATCATTTTAAATGGAGAACGCCTAAGCAACATCTGCAATGCAGATGCCATCGTTATTTTTGCAGACAGTTTAAGCTGTTTATAGCAATTAATCAAGTAAATAAAGTAAGTGAAAGATTTGAACTACAAGCAAACATATCAAAAACTAAATTTATGGTCGTCAGCAAAAATAAAATTAGAGACGTCCAACTGCTTATCAAGAATACGCCAATGGCCCGAGTAAAACAGTTTACCTTCTTGGAACTACAGTAAACGAACAATGGGATCACCATTTATCTGGATATAAAAGTAAGGTTCCTACGATGTTATATCTTCTCGATATTACACTACGCAGTTGAATCCTGGACACTCACTGATGCGATGGAAAAAAACTTGAAGCCTTCGAGATGTGGCTATACAGAAAAATACTAAGGATACCATGCATGGACGGACAAGATAACCAACGAGACTGTACTACGAAGAACGGGGAAAGAAAGAGAGGTGATGTATACCATTAAAAGGAGGAAGTCATATTTCTAAAAATAATACTTCAAGGCAAAGTATTCGGAAAGCGAGGAATTGGGAGAAGAAGAATATCATGGTTAAAAAACCTGAGATAATTCTCCTGATTCTCCACAACAACAACTAATATATTTAAAGTATAAGTTAATAAAATAATTATAGTCAAAATAATCGCCAATATTCGAAACGAATAGGCACCAAAAGAAGAAGATTCACGATTCTACGCATCAGTGCGAATTCTTCTAAGCGATCATTATTAATGTAATCAGTAATTGTAATTTTTGTAATAATGTAGTTTTTGAGTTAATAAAACGATGTCTTCCTTCACTTAATCCCTCAACCCACAAAATACCGTAACAGTATTAAAATAGAGCAAAATATATACTGCTTTATAGCATTATACTGGAAATGACAGATAAAGTATGGATTTTAGATGAAAGATAGATACTATATTTTCTTATTCGGGTCAATAATTAAAGATAAATTTTGTCGGGTACAGCTCCAATCACGTATTTATTATTAATAAATAATAAGTAAAAATATAATTTAATTTATTAATAATTAATTTATACCCTGCTCTACTATTATCTGCCACTGAATAAATAACACGAATATCCAATTAAAATGCCTACGCATATGGAATTAACGTCATCGGTCACTTCTGTCTGCTGTCGTTCTGTCATCTTGTGATAAGTCAAAATTCCAGTGGGTTGGGTTACTTTACTGGTCAATCAAATAATTTGCTAGTTTATTAAGGAGTTGTTAATGAATTTCGTAAAGTAATAATATTTACTTATCCAATTAATTAATGTAAATTGATTCTTAAACGCTAAAAAATGAGTAAGAAGTGCGCAAGGTGCGACAAGACAGTATATCCTACTGAAGAACTTAAATGCTTGGACAAGGTAGGTATAGTTTTTTTTCTATAATTTTTTAATTTTATTTTGCCTGCGTTGGTGCAATGAAAGTATTTTAAATTATTGAACAATACATGCATTGTTTTTAAGACAATGGATATAGTTAAGATCAAATTAGTTAACAGATGAATTCAAGGCTGTTAGAATAAGAAAATGAGTCATAAAAATTAACTAAACCACTTCCCTTAATGAGGTTAACTTTACGAAGAAAGCACTCAGGAATGTGTACAATATGCGTCAATATTTTCTATTAAATTGTTTTTGTCTTTTATTCTTATGTAAAATTATATTTACAGGTTTGGCATAAGCTATGTTTCAAATGCAAAGATTGTGGAATGGCACTCAATATGAGGAACTACAAGGGTTTCAACAAGGAACCCTATTGCGAAGCGTAAGTTGACTACATATTTATATACTTATTTTATTAGTGTGTTACTAAATATTCAAGGTTTAGAAGATTTAAAATCTATTTCATATGACACCTCTTACTTGAATGTGTATGAACTATTACCCAGTAAATAAATTGAACTCTGCACATTAATTTCAACAAATTAAAAACCAATCCTACATTTTAAATAAGTGCTTAAATTACACTTTCTCGTGCTATTAATATCTTCTTCAGAGTCTTCCTAATGGATTATTTATTTATAAGGCTGAGTTCAGTTATATTTTTCAACATTAGTATACCTAATTATAAATGTATACAGCATTGTATCTGTATAGATAAGTAATAATAATATTTAATTTCATATAATAGTAATTGGCCCTATACTTGTATTTACCATTTTCATCCATTTTCTCTTGTCCTCTGTTTGCTATATGTAGCCTCTTTCATATGTCTCCAGGAAATTATATTTTAACAAGTTGCATTCAGATATGTATGTCTCTATTCTCTATATATGCTATCTATCCATCGTGTCAGTGGTCTTCCCCAGCTATTCTTATTTTCACAGTACAGTGGAACCTCGATTATCTGTCTGGGCACGGGACCAAGGGTATGGCGGATAATTGAAAAGACAGTTAACAGAACATTAAAAAAAAATCATAGTATAACTCTCAAATTTTATTTGTATGTTTTATTTGACAATATAAGAGGGATTTATGTTAGTACAGTCAAATCAATTTGATTTAAATTATTCCGAAATCTGTTTTTGTTTTATTGTTATTTCACATTTTGCAACAGCTGAATTTCTTAATCAATGTAAAATCATTAAATCTACTTTATTTGCTTCTTCTTGCCGAGAAAACCACTTGATAAATTGTTGTATGTGCGATGCAGCTCCTCTAGCTTTTTTATACAAATTTTTGTGAGTTGTAATACCATCATCAACATCGCCACTATCAAAGTAGGCCTCTGAATCAGTTTCGTCCTCATCTGTTGCCATTTCAACGATTTCATCGTCTGTCAGCAATGGATAGCCGTTTGCGACCTCATTACAAATTAACCATTCGTTTACGTCATCTTTAGGCAACAAAAACAAAACAGTTGATTCAGCCATAACTTCATTTAATTGGAGCATTTTCATCTTAAGTTGATTGAAGCCATAATTTATTCCAGGCTCTTTTCAGCGTTACTTCCGAAACATCAGGCAAAGAATATTACTCTTCCATAACTAAGTTTTGAATAAATTTTTTCCAGTATCTTCTTTTGAGTGTGTTAATGACTGAATGATCCATTGGTTGTATCAATGATGTATTCGCAGGCAGAAAAGAGTGTGTGATATTTTTATTGTCACTCCACAGCATACTACCTTTAGGATGGGCAGGTCCATTGTCCAAAATGAGAAACGTCTTTGGTGGAAATTTTTTTGCAAACAAAATGAATTGATGACTAAATATTTATTTATGTTGTCAATGTAACTTATATATAGACCCTGATGGTTAACAGAGGTGACAGTTAATAGAGAGACTGATAATCAAGGTTCCACTGTATCTCCCTTCCAATAATCTTCTAATCCATCTTTGTTTGCTGAGCCTTGCTACATGTCCTTCGAATCTCCATTTTAGCCTTGATATTTTTTTATGATGTCTGTTGAGTCAATTGAGTTTTTTGAAATCATACTCCAGAACTGCTCTAAAGAGGTTGAATGAGATTGTATCTCATTGTCATAACATCTCTCTCCAAATGGAACTTGCCAGTTTTTTCTAGAGTTGCATACTTGCTGTTGATTAATACATCATCATCATCATCAGTGGTGCTACAGCTCTAGTTGAGCCTTGACCTTCCCCAGTCTATTTCGCCAGTCGTTTCTGTTCATCGCCAACCGTTGCCAATTTGCCGCGCCGATTTTCCTTGCGTCCTCGTCCACACCGTCCCTCCATCTCAGTCGTGTCTGCCTCTACTCCTATTTCCCACTGGGACCGATAATAGAGTTCGTCTGGGTGGGTAATTTTCATTTGCTCTTGACACATGTCCAGCCCATCTAAACCTACCTATTTTTATGAAGGATATTACATCTCTACCATTTACTATTTTTTTATACTTTTATATTGATTTTACATAGATGTTATAAATTAAGCCAGTGTATATGCAATCCACATGACACTTTGTTTAGAGCCCTGATTATTTCTATTGTATATTTTCTATTATTGAAAGCCTTTTGGAAATCAACAAAAACGACTACTAGTGGATGGTTGTATTCTCTGGTTTTCTCAGTAAGGTTTTTAGTGCAATATAATGATCATTGTTACTGAAACCTGAGTAAAAACTGGCTTGTTCAGTTTATTTTCTAGTTTAGTTATATAAATGGGAGAGGAGACTTAATTGGAATCCCCTTTTTATAGATTAATAGAACAAAAGTTGAATATCCTCCAACTTTAATAGCCTCCATTACTATACCGTATTCTCCAGGTACTCTCTAATTTTTCATATTTTTGAGTGCATGCTTGATTACCATTCTTGGTAATCTCTAATATGAATAATCTGAACCCTGATTAACTTCTCTCCTTCTTTTTTCCATCTTTTTGAGTGTGCTTTGTATCTTTTGTTGGCTTTTATAAAGTTCTCATGAGAATTTGTCAACTGTTGTAAAGATTTCATTTTTGTTAGATGTTATTTCACCTTTATGTTTTTCAGCTTTATAATTTCTTTTCTGTCGCTAGCTAGCTCTTGTCAGAACTTTTGTGCTTTTATTATGTTTGATTGTTTATTGTATCTGCTCTTTTTTGTAGTATCTGTCAGTGTTTGTGTTTGGTTTGGAAACAGATTTTATTCTGTTTGTCCCACTTTGGGTGATGTTTGTTTATAGCCTTTATTAGTGTTTCTCTTATTGCATAGTTTAACTTGTTAATGTTAAAAATATAAACCTTGCATATTTGTAATTAACTTTTTTGGTATTTCCTATAATAATAACAGATATATAACAGATATGTTGATTGTTACAATATTATGTCTCATAAAGATGAAGAAAGAAACAAGAAAAAATGATTTATTATATTATTATTTTAAGTTGGCTGATTTGTCATTATTAAATGACTGAGTCAGGTACATTGGGATGATTTATTATTAGATCATACAGTTAATGATGTGGTTAATGTTTTATGATGTCATAAATTGTTTTCTGTACAATACTGTAGTCTTGTTAGATCAATATTTGAATATTGTTCTCCAGACTGGAGCCCCTATTATACCTGTCATATTCACAGAATTCAGCAAGTACAGAGAAGATTTCTATGGTACCTAGTATTTAAAGCAAATATTACAAAAATTAATGATTATTCATATGATTTGGCATAATTGCAAGATTCTCAGATAAGATACCAGGCAGATCTAAAACTAGTTTTTAAAATCATTAATTGTATGATTTACTGCCCTTCATTGATTTCTAAAATGTTGGTGGAAGTTACAGTTAAGAACACAAGATCACATATCTTCTTTCATTAGCCCTTTAGGTGCACCAATGTTGGTTTTAATTCATACATGTCTAGATTACCACATATTGCAAATCTCCATGCAGAATATTTGATTTAATATTGAATTTGTTAACACAACTTTCAGTAAATTTATAACTGTGGTGAAACTACATGTGTAGCCTGAGTTCTTTAGTAATGTGAGTTGTTTTAAATTGTAGGTTTTATTTAATATCTATGAAATTTGCTTAGGTTAGGTAGAACTATTTGTAACCAGTGGCAGCAGTTTTGTCTAAACAAATAAAACAGTTGAATTAATTAGATCAATTTCTTTATATATAAATTATTGTATAGTTAGTATTGCTATTGAGGTTGTAAATGTTTTTAATTGTATCTAAAACTGAGCTAGGTCTTTTGATAAATAAATAAATAAAGAGTAATCTCAAATTGTTAAGTTCTAAATTGTTAATTCTGTGTCCCTTACTGACTTTGTGGAATAAAATGGTTTAATCATGCATTATAAATTGTATAAATATTTTAATATGTAAATGTCTGCTGATAATTATTAAATTATTTACACAATTTGGGAAAATTTTATCATACTAGCTCAAACCAGTGGTTTATTATCATAATGAAATATTATGATAACAAAACACCTAAATTTACTTAAAATTATTATATTTATTATTAGCTGATATGTAAATATTCAAAGGTTCTTTAAAAAAAAAATTATAAAATGCCAATTAGATAATTCCAAGATTAAAAACACATGTACTTAATCTTGTATACAGGGTGATCAACTTTTGTGACAAAGTCCATTATGTCTGTTATTATAGGAGATACCAAAAAAAGTTATTTACAAAAATAAAAAGTAGCTGCAAGCTTCACATTTTGAAATTAGTTACAAATATACAGTGTCTTCCAAAATTACCACATCAAAGATGTTTTTTTTTTATAAATGAAACACCCAGTATTTTATTTTAAATTTAACATCTGTTTCACTTCCTTGTTACAAGATTATGAAGTTATTTTTTGTATCTTGAAATTTTGAAATGGTCGAATAGACAATTAAAAAAAATGTAAATAAATATTTAATTTTTATTTTTTCCATTTACAGTCATATTCCAAAAGCCAAGGCAACGACCATGGCTGAAACCCCAGAGCTGAAACGAATCGCTGAAAATACCAAACTGCAATCGAACGTTAAGTACCATGCAGATTTTGAAAAAAGTAAAGGTAAATTTACGCAAGTAGCAGACGATCCGGAAATGTTGAGAATTAAACAAAATACGAAAATAATTAGCAATGTAGCATATCATGGAGATCTTCTTAGGAAAGCTGAAATGGAACAAAAGAGGCAGATAAACGAAAATTCAAACGGTAATAACACATACACTTGATTTGTAATTTACAGAATATATTTTGAATTAAAGATTGGGGCTAATTTTAATAGTATTTGCAGGCAGTGTTGAATACTTATCTTTATCAAATGCAAAATGTTTGATGCAAAAACTGTCTGCAAGTTTGGTTCATTCAATTAATTGTATAATATGCATATAAAGTGATAATATTGGGTGTTATCCACAAATCATCTACCTCTAGATTCTTCACGACAATATTTTAATTAGATATGAAATTCAGCGCTCCAAGGTATTTGTATCAGAACTAATTCAAGCGGAAAATTACGCGGGAATTTCAAAATTTAGTTTTGGTGGGAAAATTTAAAAAAAAAGCTTAAAATATTTAGATATGATTTGGTATATTTAAAAAAAAATTGCATTTGAAATTTTAAAATGTGTAAATTATTTTTAAATTCAAATATACACAGTACCATTTAAGAAAAAAAAATGGTAAAACTTATATCACTGTAAATGCATCCACGAAAACGACATTAGGTAAAATTTGTAGCTGAAGTTATCTAGTTTCGAAAAATGTGCTTGTTCAATCGAATGGAATCAGTTTTACACGTTTTAGATCGTTTATAATGTGAAAGTTTATATTCATTTTTTAGGTATATTTCAAATGCCTCATGTTGTTGAGTTGTCAACTCACTGCTAGATTCTCCCTATTGTAAGATTAGAGATATTCTATTCTACCTATTCTAGAAAAATTAAAGTGCATAAAGTCCATTTTTAACATCTACCCCTTTTTTAGGGTTTAAAGATCCAGATCTCAAAAATGCCAATCAGCCTCAACCGCAACCAATGTATAATGCCTCATCTTCTCATTCCCAACCGCCAGCTCCTGTACAAACTCCAGTTGCTAAAAGTATGGGAAAAATAGATGATTACGACCCACAGGCAACAGCAGCACAGGGACAGTATCAAAGCCCGTATTCGTCTAGAAATTCCCAAACTCTTATTTACTCCTCAGATGTTGGAACCGTCAATAATCCTCCTCAGCGGCATATAGGTAAGTTTATTAACTGTATATGTAGTGAGGGGTAAAGTTATGGAATAAATTCATTTTTTCGAGAATGGGTTAATCTCAAAATAAGTCTATTTTTCATAATGACGGTATTAGAATTTGATTTTCGCCAGGTAGAAATCGTATGATTTCTCTTTAAGTCTATTTTTATTTTTAAATTATGTTTTTTTTTTGCATATTGTTTGGTAAGTCATGGCAGGATTGTCATTTAAGGTTAGCGGTGGTAGGTAAGGTTCTTTTCAATGATAAGCAGCTATGGTAGAATGAAACACATCTTTACTGCACAAAGCTCCAGTTTATTCTGTTCTTTCCAAATATCATTGTGTGTTCTTGCACATGTGCTCTATAATAAAATTGCTCTTCGCTTAAATTAAATAATACAAAAAACAATCTTGAGCATCATGGGTAATTTCATGGAGTTATGAAGTTATGTTATGAATTTCCAATCTCTTCTATTTTTTAAATCTTGTAAATTAAATTGTACTGTCGATCGATGTACACTTTTGATTTTAAGTAACTAGAAAAAAATCAAATAGTCTAAGATCTGGAGGTCTTGGGGGCTACTCTATGGTTCTTCGTCTACCAATCCAGCTCCTTGGAAAACATTGGTTTAAAAAATCACGAACAGGAAGTGCAAAATGCGGAGGTGGACCGTCTTGCTGAAACCATATATTTTCATTTGGCAAATTACGATCATTTTCATTTGGAAAAATGTAAGGGCGGGTCTGTAAGTTTAGTTTGTAAAAAATCAGGATATCTTTGGTCCGTAAGAGGCCCATCAAAGAAAAAAGGATCTATAATTCTATCCATACCCATACGTTGACTTTTGAGGGACCGAGCGTGAACCTCAGTCATCCAATTAGGATTCTCTTTAATCAAATATCTGCAGTTTTGTCGATTTATTTTTTCCCCAAGTATGAACCATATATCAGTTGGCCCAACGTTAATTTTAGAAGTTTTAATGCATCAAACAACCTTTTTAAATTCCCTAATTATAGAAAATATTTTATAACGTAATGAGAACTATTGATTAAACAGAATAATAATAAATTTAAAAAAAACGCATAGAATATGTAATATTAACAAAAAAAATGTGAAAGTTTACCAATGACTTACATCCCCTTTATTTTTAATGACATCCTCAATTCTTCGACACATAGTTTTTCCAAGTTCTAACAAAAGAAAACTTTGTTCATCCTAATCTATTTTTCTTTTGTTGTAATGTTAAAAGTGGCTTTTCCTTAGCCTAAAATAAATGAAACTTATTACTAGTTTTTTCAACTATAAAATATACTTTGTCCCTAGCCAATATAGTACCAAATTCTAATTTGTGGGGCTCTCGATGACATGTTGATCTAGAAACGTGTCATCCAATAACGCCACTCCATAAAACGCTCAACTCCATATAATTTGCTCGTCGATTTTTCACTAAAATGCGTCTTAATGCCCTTCGATCTGCTTCGGTTATTTTACTTTTTTCGTACATTTCTAACTTTTGTGACAACCGAACCTGTAGTATCTGTATCTTCTGACTATATTTCTTACACTATAGCGTGATAATTGCAACATATTTCCGAATTGAATTTTCCAAGATTTAACGTAATTATGAAAAAATCAACGTATGTTGACATAAGTGAATGCATAGCCAGGATTAGCGATTTTTTATTGTTGAAAATAAATAAAAAGCCATAAGGGTAATGTTTTTAACCTTCCGTTACTCGCGCCAATTTTCTGTGATCGAATACTCGCGCACGGTGCAGAAGACCGGGTCCGAAAAAATGGGGTCAGTAATATTTTTTAATTTTCTTTTTTTGAAAATTGTGTACAATTATATTATTTAATGAATATATGATCATATAATTTTGTAGATATGCTTTTGGTTGAACATTATATTAGTTTAATGAAAAGTTAACTAATTTTCATTGTTATCCATTTATATATACAAAAAACTTTAAAAATTAAAAAAAACATTGAATATTGTTAAATTTGTTTACTAGGAACTTCAAGAAATTAATTCAATACACAAAAAAATCAAAAATGAAGAGTAATTGCAACAAAAAAAAATAAGAAATATTAATTAAAATTTTCATAACATGAATTAAACAATGATGTAACATGTTCCAAACACAGATATTTTGTGCGTATTTGGCAGTAATATTTTGTTTTTCTATTTTTCCGCCAATGACAAACAGCACAGCGACCTTGAGTTCCAGGTGCTATGACTGGTACTTGTTCCGCTGGTAAGCCACATATCTCCCTAAGCCTCATTTTGATGGTTCTGGGTAAACTGGTAAACAGAGCTCGTACTTTTTGGTAGTCACTGGTTAGTAACATCGAGAGTTTTAGTAAAAATTCTTTACGTGGTGGTTTAGATTCTTCATCTAGACTAGTATAAACTACAAAAGAGTTTATTCCTGCTACATTCAACAAACTAAAAAAAGGAAACCATGGGCCATCGTCTTGTGGCATGGGCGCAATTATATTGCGCGCATAATTTATCTACCACATCTACTCCGCTCTTCGTTTCATTATATGTAATCATCATCTCAGGTTTACCTGTGGTAGGGTCAATATCATCTCCATGGTGTACTGTAGAGATAAGTAGGATGTTTCGATTTTTTTTGGCATATGCGAAACCAATGTGATTCCGTCATTAAATCCAAACATTGAAGAGCCAATGCACCTGCCGTTATTTTGTATAAATTCTAATGGCAACTGTTTTTTATTTTTTCGAATAGTACTCACTAAAGTTAATTTTTTTTTATTTAAAGCTATCAGCTAGAGGCACACTACAAACCCAATTATCTACAGTAACATTCCTATTACTCCCATAAATGTGTGCACAAAGTGTTTCTACTACGTCTTGCGTCGCTGTACTAACTTGAAAAGGGCCATTTGGTTGTTTTCCGGCGTAAACTTCTAAGTGGCTGGTATAGATTTGTTTTGCATCGGAAATGGCAAAAATTTTTATACCCTATTTATTCGGCTTGCTAGGATTATATTGTCTGAAACTACAATTTCCTCTAAAAGCTTCTTGTTTCTCATCTATGGTAACATAACCAGAATGAGAATAGCATTTTTTAATGTTGCTGTTAAATTTTTCTAACAATGTTCGTATTGGAGCCAGTTTATCTACCTGTATTCTTTCATGTCTCATGTGAATGTTATCAAATCGCAGACATTGCAAAAGAAATTGAAATCGAGGCTTACTCATTACAGTCGAAAAGTTTCAATGCCAGTGCCATCTGTTCTCCAGAGATCCTCTAAATTCATGTGATTTACTTTTCTAATACCAGCAAGATAAAGGAGACCAATTAGGGGTTTGATTTCGACAATGTCGGTAGGTTTCGCATCTCTTTGTCTACTGTAGTCGTCTGTAACACTCTGAATTTTTATATTTGTACAGTAAACAACTAGATTTAGCATTTCTTCATCAAAAATGCAATTCCAGATGTCAATAGGTGTTGAGTGAGTTTTAACAAATTGTTTTATAGCTGGCAATCGTACAAATATATTGGTACTGCGTGTTCTTACATTCTTGGTGGACAATGTTTTTTCCACTTTGTTAATTTATCTTTACCCATAAAGTACGGTTCCCTTCTGAAACTAACATTTTCTTCCTCTGTTTGACCGGCTTCAAATTCCTGTTCAGTATCACTACAACATTCAGATCGTTCTTCTACATGGTAAATTTCATTTTGTTGATTATCATCTTCATACGTTTCCTCGTCAGTCGATACTTCCTCAAATAATTTTAATAATCTCTTTTTCTCCTTCTCGTAATCCATTATTCATATATCTAAAAATATGTAAATATATAAACATTGAAAATAAAAAAAAGAACTTAAATCACCCTGCAGAGTAAAACTTTCAATGTCTGATCCAAAGCACAAAAATGTGTCCACAATACCCCGGGTGTCGCACCCGGTGTACCGGACCGTGTTGCCTAATAATAAAATTATAATGCTCTTTTTTACACTACACACAGACTTCAACGATAAGTGACCGACGACTGAAGAGGTACATGAAGCAGCAATTCCAAATCCCCACTACAATCAGAGTTACTTAAAATTTACAGGGCCGGTCTCATACACCGTGTGCGAGTAACGGAAGGTTAATAAATATTAATAAAAATGCCTTATTAATCAATATGGGAACTTATAAAAACATGCAGAGTATAATTTGCTAATGGTAATTGACTTAAACTGCAAATTCCATAGATGGGCCAACCAATATGAGAAGGGGCTCGTATATCTTTTGTAAAATCCTAACTCTTAATTACCAACAATAATAATTTAATTTGTATAGGTTCTGTACATGATATGGATCCCGTAAATCATAACTACGGCTCTTTGGGTCGAGTTTATCGAGCCATGTACGACTATGAAGCACAGGATATAGACGAAGTGAGTTTCCAAGATGGGGATCTTATAGTAAACGTACAGAGTATAGACGGTGGTTGGATGACAGGTGAGGTGCAACGTACAGGGCAAGTAGGAATGTTGCCCGCTAATTATGTACAAATGGTAAAGATTTGAAGTGAATTTTTAGATATTTTATAACTTTTTGACCCTTTTACAATAATGACTCCTAATTTATGCATCAAATAGGCATTGGTTTTGTGCTGCAACTATAGGAAAAAATTATATGATATATTTATCATGAAAAAAAAAAATAGTTGTTAAACTACTACTAAAGTAAGTACTACTTGTAATTGATATCAAATTAAATACTAAATAAAAGACATGTTTTGCTTTGCCATGATGACAATAGTTAATAGCTGGGCTATTAAAAAAATGTGCCAAACCATGTAGATTATTTTATAATAGTACAGATTATCGATGATTACCAAATAAATGATTTTTCCTTAAATTTCAAGAATATTTAAAATATTGTACCGTATATTTCAGGGATGGGATCAAATCTGGCTCCGTCTATCGTGCATGATTTGACAAGAAGTAAAGATATATTCTCATTTTTGATGGTAGTAGCTAAAATTTGAAAATTACTGTTAAAACATTTAACAGAAAATATACTCTTTATTATTTATATTACATTTAGCATACTAGAAGAGCAAAAATGCGCCAAATTAATAAAAACTATTGGACGTAACCTGTTTTGGCTTTTTTAATCAAAATAACTATGGACTAAGCTTAATTTAATCCCAAACTGTTTCTTTAGGCTGTCTCGAAATAAAAATGTTGTCATCAAAACATCAATTTCTAAAAATTGTGGACGTAGCTATTTTTGATGCTATACCTCTGATTTACTAAACTTACAATAACAGTAACTATTTATCATAAGTAATAATTCTTACTGGATGTCTTCATATCACGGTAATATGTATCTATGTTTAAATCAACTTTTAAATTGGGCTTCCATATACAATATGTTTGATTTTACAAGGCTGTATACACAAAATATACATATATTTAGACTATTTGATGCATAAAATTGGAAGAGGCAAAACTCACCGAAACATCTGCCTAAAATATCGCTATGTTCCTTGGTAGTGATTTTTTCAACTTTGACAAACTTAATCAACTAACGTTGACTAAGTTTATGTATGTACGTGCTATTATATTTGCAATTACCAAACTTGTTTTAGTATATTTTATTCACGATTTACCATCTAACTCGCATAGCATTAGAGACTGCCTCGTTTACTAAACATTTTTAAGTTTGAAAGTCCACTATCAACTTACAATCGTTTGCTATTGTTAATAAGTAATTTATCTTTCAATAAGACTTCTCGAGTTACCTCAAACAAAAGCTTTTATTAAATTCGGTCTGCAAAAGAAATATTTATTATGCCACACTGACCTACACAGATATAAGTTTAAACTGGCGCAGTCGATCAAAGAAGATATATTTATTTTTATGTTTATTTATTTTTAAATACAGCATATGGTATACTGTCTCGACATAACCCTTTTATTTGATATGTTATAGACAATTTCAGTGAATATTCCGAGTCAATTTTATACACTGTCGGAATTCGAAGAACTGAACATTTGCATCGGCAACTTTTTACATATACACGTACTTTTGTTTGTTGATGTTGGATTTTTGAAATCATTTATATATTTTATCAAAACATTGTATAAATTAGTTGTGTAAAATAGCAATAAATATATTTGAGTAACTTATAAAATCCACGTTACGGAATTAAATAAAACGTAAATGTCATTCCATATTAGCCATTGTACTTGCCATTTTGTTGGTTATGTGAAAAACAAAAATTATCCGTGGGTCAGTTTTATTTAAAAAGATATCTAAAGTTTGTTTCAAATAAGAGACTACCCTTAGAATTGCAATTGAAATTTAAGATCAAAAATAATATTTTTAAAATATTTTAACATATATATTGTTATGGTTTTTTACATATTAAGCTGTATTGTTGCATATACTTTCAGTGATTCAATTAAGAATATGTACAATTTATACTGATTTTAAATATCCGCCCTTATTTATATCCATAGTTAGCTTATACGAAGTATAAGAACATTTTTTTATCTACAGTGAACTGTGAGTATTTTGTAATCTTAAATAAATACCTTAGTAACGTAATAAGGGACAGATAAGGTAACATTTATTACTTGAAATACCTTTAATGTCAAGTGTAATAGAAAGAGAGGAAGAATTAAGAGAAACTCCATAAGTATAGAAATAACATCTTATAACAATTATAATGCCAATTTACCCTCCCATTGTAACGAAATATATTTTGCTTACCTCAGGGTAAGAACATGGGGTAGAAGATTGGTCAAACAAAATAAATCGAAACTAGTGCGTACGGCACTCAGTTGGTTGTTGGAGAGCTGGATCGTGGATAAGTTGAAATAAAATGGGGTCCGATTGGGCTATCTACTAAATGAAAACAAAAAGGATACTTTAATATAGGATACATAAATCTCCTGGGTCAAAAAATGAACAAGATATGGCAGATAAATTTACCTCTAGCTATTTTCTTTTCTTTTGGACGCCGCTTTGAAGAAAACTTCCTGCTGGGAGAAAGAAAAAAATTCTTTTTTCCTAAAATCTAAAATACATACAAGGATTAGGACACTTTTCTAAATTAAACACAAAATGGATCAGTGAAACAAATCGAACGTTTATTTTTGTCTCAAACAAACAGTTATCAAAAATATAGATTACAAAAGAAACATACTATATAACATAATACAAAATAACAAAAACTTACGTGTTCTTTGTTTACATAAAAGATTGCTACAAAAATTTTGTATTATATATATATATATATATATATATATATATATATATATCAAATTAAAATTGTCTTATAACAACAATGGATTAAATTAAAAATGTCATATGTCAACATAACCTTTTAAGTCAGAATAAAATATGACATTTTTTAGCTACGGAAATATAATATAAAACTTTAATGATTACAAATTCTTTTATTTTAATGAAAGCAATTATTAAAAATGTCTTTACAACTTGGAAAGATTAATATATATTAAGTTACCTTAATTTTTACATTATCACTTAACTTTGCAACTTGTTACATCTCTGGGGAAGCTACTTGAACAAACTCACAAACTGGAAAACAGGAAACCATCAGAAACCATTTCCATACTCAGGGACGAACGATCGAACAGGTTTAGGTTGAGGAATCAAGCTGACAACGAGGACATTCTATACAACACTTTTCAAAAGCTTCCGGTTTTTATACAAATCTTCCGGTGACCACCACAAGCAAACAACATAGTATGTGAGTACTCTATCAAAACGGCACTCAATGCCAAGAGTGTCTTCACCTTTACCGGTATTAAAACATTACAAAAAATAACGATTGAATCGACACGCCTTTTCAATTTCACTCGTGTAGCTTGACTGACTCACTTGCGTTCATTCTCTCAATTCGAACGCCGAAATGATCCTCCCCTTCCGTCTTTCAGGCGCCAGGAATCTTAAATAAACAATATTTTCGACAACTTTGTAATATTCCCCAACTTATTGCGTTTAAAAAGAACTTGTACCGGTTGAATAATTTTAAATGTAAACAAATCGTTTTCAACTAATACGTCTTTATTTTTGAAGCATTATTACGCATTTAAAAATCTCGACTTGCATAAAAGACAAACGCATTTTTCTTGGTATACCAGGGGCGTACTACAACAATTTAAAACCGAATTTATATTATTACATAGACATTAAATATAAAACGCTACACCATTATGTTGGCCGTATTTTATTAACTTAATATTAATCATATCAGAAAAAGTACATAACCATAAATATTCTTTTCGTGAATCGACATTTATCAGTTTCTTAATTAACCTGTCGCCACAAGTTTGGTGCATGTTCATAAGCTCTTGGTATCAGGGGTAGACATCAGAACTAGAAATATGTGTCAACATTTTACCAATCATGAAGGAAAGAAGCATAAAAAGAGAAAAATGAAAGTAGCAACTCTCATCCTACTTAATGAAGAAAATTGTATAGCGAACCCATCAAAAGAATGTAGCAGGCTTTGGTTACCAATACCGATGTAATTTCCCGAAATTGCCACACTGAAATGGAACTGTGCCGGACACGTCACCCGAATCAATGATGAAGGGTGGACACGAAGAGATTGATTGAGTGGAGGTCGAGGTTACAAAAAAAGAAGTAGAAGAAGACTCCCTACTCAAAAAAGTGCTCAAGATAGAGCACAATGGACAAAAATGAGGAAGGATTATATCCAGCAGTGGACGCAAAGGGCTAGGTGATGATGATGATGAATGTATATTCACACAATACATAAACACATATACACAACAAATCAGAAACGGGACATTTGAACTACTCTGACGTCACTGTCGGTAAGCGTTGAATCTGCATTATCGGCCGAGAATGAACCTTAGCCAAGACCGGAACTATTCTTACAGAGTTGTAAAGATGTTTACCAGTTTTTTATGTATTGCGATATTTTTTATTCAGTTATTAATGACAAAAAGCTATATACTTGTAATAATGTTTGTTTCTTCAATCAGCAAAGTTTCATTAATAAAACTCAATTGCAAACGAACACTTAATTATTACTTGTGCGATAATAAATTAAAATTAAAAAACAAACATTTGAAGCTTTTAATTAACATTAATAATGATAAGACTCAATATGACTGTCAAAAGCTAAATAAGATTTTAATTGGACAGTGGCGTAACAAACTATTAAAACCTAAATTACATACATTAAACAAAAACAAGAAGAATGTTCTGTTTTTCTTTACATACTTATAACAAAAATTGTAATTCTTAAAAAGGGACATACCACGGGACTGTGTTAAGTGTTTGAGGTCCATCTATTTAAACATTCCATTATTAAATTATTAAATATGCTGTGACGTGCCAAGAATACCTAATAATATATCGTTATTGATAAAAAAACTTCAAAATATTAACATTTATTATAGAAAATTACCTTGGGACAGGGATTTTTCATTTAGTGGACGATTACAAATATATACATAATTATGTTCATTAAGTATGTAAATATCATTCACTAACAGGGGGAAGACCATACTGTTAAAATAAAAAAGTATCACGTTTTTTTTTATAATTTCTTAATTAAATTACATGAAAATTATATCAAATTAAAAAAACCATAATAATAGATTTTATATAATGATTCAGGAGTGAGAATGTTTAAAATCTTGTACATTGACTCTTAAAATCTGTTTTTCTTTCTTAATATTTTATATGTCATGTAATAAGTTATCACACATATTTTTTCGATGTGCAAAGACTTGATATGAATAGAAGAGAAATGTTCAAAGCAATGAAATAGTTAGGAATACCAAATCAGTTGGTAAATTTAACAAAACTGACTCTTGAAAAAGTTGAATGTAGGGTACGAATTCAGGGGGAACTATCTGAACCTTTTAAAACAAATAATGGGCTGCGGCAGGGAGATTCTCTCCTGTATAATGTTCAATCCGGCTCTGGAAAAAGTAATACGTATGTCACAAATCACAACTATGGGTTTAATAAATCAGTGCAGATTCTGGCCTATGTAGATGATATCAATATTGTTGAAAGAACGGAAAACGCTGTACAAGAGGCGTATGTAGGATTAAAAGAATCAGCTACAAAAATGGGTTTAATAATAAACACCAACAAAACGAAGTATATGAAAATAAGCAAGTAACCACAGATCCTACGACCACTTGTTATAGAAAACGACGTCATTCAAGCAGTGAACGAATTTGTATACCTGAGAGCGCTCATTAACATGGAAAATAATACTATCGCAGAGATAAACTGCAGAATTTACACGACCAGCAGATGCTATTTTGGGCTCAATCTTTTCCTTAGATCCACAATTTTATCGAGAAATACAAAAATAAAACTCTGCTCCTCCTCAGTCCTAATCCCTTTTGGGATGTGGTGACAGTATCAGGCTTTTTCAGTTTTTTCACGATTTCCCTCCATCCTTCTCTTTCCTGGGCTAGTTGTTCGGCTTCATGTAACCCTTGGTTAATCAATATTTTTGTTTGATCTACCCAACGGCTTGGAGGTCTTCCCCTAGGTCCCTTTCCTTCAACTCTACCCTCGACTATCAGTTTTTACATAATACCTGTTCTTCTAGCAAATAAAACTCTACAAAACAATAATACGCCCAGTCCTAACATATGGTTCAGAGACCTGAATTCTAACAAAAAGTAATGAAAACGTGTTAGGATGTTTTGAAAGAAAAATACTAAGGCGAATCTATGGAACAGTGAATGATAATGGAGTTTGGGAAGACGATACAACTTCGAATTTTATAGATTATACCAGGAACTGGTATCTGATATCTGAGTTGGATAGGGCATGTAATGCGGATGGAACAAAATAACCCAACTAGAAAAACGATTCTTGATAGACCCATTGGTCAGAGAAGAAGAGGAAGACTCAGAAAAGGGTTCCTTGATAACATCGATGAAGACATGAGAAATACGGGAATACGTGCTTGGCAAAGAAAGGCGATAGATAGGAACGACTGGAGAGAAATTCTTGAGGAGGCTAGGACCCACGCAGAGTGGTAAAGCCAAAATGATGATGAAGACTTGATATGAGAATATAACTAGATAACATAATATACGAAGTGTAACTAAGAATAACCCGGAATGGTATGATATAAAAGTCTTAGAAATATCTTGAAAAGGGTAAAAGAATATTTGTTCAATTTATAGTTTCAACACTGGCTCTACTACTGAACAAACGGCTTCTAGATTACTGTGCCTTATTAACCCCAACGACTATATAAATATATACCTGACCTCACGGTAAAAGAACTTGCAGATGTGATAATAAAAGCTT